TTCCCCTCGATCAATACATCGATTTCATACAGCAAGTACACGACCATTTTGGACAAGTTCTACGAAAAGCATCATCCCGAATTCCCACGTCTACGAGACCAGATTCGGGAACTGTTGTCCAAGTCCGAGGATCTTGATCAGGTTGTGCAGTTGGTCGGTAAGGCGGCCCTCGGTGACTCGGACAAAATCACCCTGGACGTCGCGGCCATGGTAAAGGATGACTTCTTGCAGCAGAACGGTTACAGTGACTATGACCAGTTCTGTCCCCTGTGGAAGACCGAGTATATGATGAAGGCTTTCATGGGCTTCCATGATGAGGCCCAGAAGGCCATTGCTCAGGGGCAGAGCTGGAGCAGGGTCCGTGAGGCCACAGCTGACATTCAGACCTCTCTGCGTAACATGAAGTTTGAAATTCCAGAAAACGAGGCAGCGGTTACAGAGAAGGTCAGTCCAATTTTCCCTGTCAAATTGGTAGTTTCTAGCCACTAACAAATCTACACAGTATGAGAAGATCCTTCAGACCATGTCGGAGAGATTCGCTTCGGTGTCGGATGAGTAAGGAGACGAAAGTCCTGAGAGGAGGTGCTTTCTTTTTTGTCTATTAGAAGCCTATATGTAGCAAGCTTATGTCTCTGTAATTATTTGAGCCGACTTTTCTTGTTCCGCAAGCTAGTACCGACTGTCGAGTCCTTGTGGTTTTTTATACACTTGATCTTTGATTATGGGCTATATACAAGTGCACCTAGATAGCATCAAGTTTATCTATCTCGCGCGCTAACTGGTAGAGCGATTTCTCTGTAGGAAATAAGTGGTAAAAATGGGACATAAGAGTCTACCATATCGTAAACTACCTCATGATGCGTGCAGAACTTTGATGCCTGTGATCGCAAAGTCGGTGGCTGATGTTAGGCACCACTGTTAAAGCGGTCTCGGGTGGCCACAGCCACATGACGGGTGCAGCGATGGCTCTCGTGAGCGACAACGTTAGTTTGGACTTCAGTAAAAGGATCGCTCTCCGAGTATTTCATAATAACTAGTACTGAAGCCCTTATTCTCAGAGGATAGATACAAGGAGTGTCGTTGGACGGTGCAGTGTCCCTAAGTTGATGCCTATCATTCCTCCGTTGCCCATCTATTTCTATATTGATCTGGACCGCAAGCGAAACTCTACACTTGGCCGCAATCCCAACAACTCTTCCCGCTCTTTCCTACCCACAATCAACACTCTCTCCAAGCGAAGGCCATACACTCGAGTCTCATCCGTTTTGAATCGAAATCTTCTGTTCTACTCCAGAAATAGTTCTGTGCGATCGCTTTCTCTACACAGTTGCCAACCATGGCAAGCCCGACAACAACCTCGTGCGCATGCCCCTGTTCCCCCGAGGCCAAGCTCCGAAAACGTTAGCTAACTTGTATGATCGTTGGTAGTATAAACGTTAATGATCCCGGCTTGATTTCACTGGTGAACAAACTTCAAGATGTCTTTTCGACAGTCGGTGTAAGTGTCTCATCCACTGTTTGGAGATCTCTCTGCTTCGATGTCGTGGAGCGAGCCCCTCTGCCCGATACTGACACCGCTCGTCTGGTTAGGTTCATAACCCCATTGATCTGCCACAGATTGTAGTGGTAGGCTCGCAATCTAGTGGCAAGAGTTCAGTTCTCGAGAACATCGTTGGAAGGGACTTGTAAGTTTACTCTTCCTGCGCCCGTGTTTGTTGTGCTGTGAGTCGTCGCTAATTAAGGTTGCTCGCTGCAGCCTCCCTCGTGGATCGGGAATCGTGACTCGGAGACCCCTCATCCTACAGCTCATCAACAGGCCTTCAAGAAACTCGGTAACAAACGGAGTCAAGGAGGAAAAACTAGAAACTACGGACAGCGAGGCGAATGTCGACGAATACGGCGAGTTCCTCCACATCCCCGGACAAAAGTTTTACGATTTCAACAAGATTCGCGAGGAGATTGTGCGTGAAACTGAACAGAAAGTCGGTCGCAATGCCGGTATCTCGCCAGCGCCCATCAACTTGCGAATTTACTCGCCCAATGTCCTGACCCTCACACTGGTTGATTTGCCCGGTCTCACCAAGGTCCCAGTCGGCGACCAGCCTAAGGATATTGAAAGACAGATCAGGGATATGGTTCTCAAGTACATCAGCAAGCCCAACGCGATCATCCTGGCGGTCACCTCTGCCAACCAGGATCTTGCCAACTCGGACGGATTGAAACTGGCGCGCGAGGTGGATCCCGAGGGTCAGCGCACTATTGGTGTGCTAACCAAGGTTGATCTGATGGACGAGGGTACGGATGTGGTGGATATTCTTGCGGGCAGGATTATCCCTTTGCGACTGGGTTACGTCCCTGTGGTCAACCGTGGCCAGCGTGATATTGAGAACAAGCGTCCCATCTCATACGCACTGGAGCACGAGAAGAACTTCTTCGAGAGCCACAAAGCTTATCGGAATAAGGCTTCGTACTGCGGAACACCATACCTTGCCAGGAAGTTGAACTTGGTATGCATTATTGGTTCAATTATACCATCATGGAATTTTTTAGCTGACTTCCCGTTCTCTAGATCCTTATGATGCACATCAAGCAGACTTTGCCCGATATCAAAGCCAGAATTTCATCCTCTCTCCAGAAGTACACGGCCGAGCTCTCCCAGCTTGGCGACTCAATGCTCGGAAACAGCGCCAATATTATCCTTAACATCATTACCGAATTCAGCAATGAGTATCGCACGGTTCTGGAGGGAAACAACCAGGAGCTGTCCAGCATCGAGCTTTCTGGTGGTGCCCGTATCAGCTTTGTGTTTCACGAACTGTACTCGAACGGTATCAAGGCCGTGGATCCATTCGACCAAGTGAAGGATATTGATATTCGAACAATCCTTTACAACTCTTCTGGCTCGTCTCCTGCGCTTTTCGTCGGAACGACCGCCTTTGAGTTGATCGTCAAGCAACAGATCAAGAGACTGGAGGATCCCAGTTTGAAGTGCATCTCGCTGGTCTACGACGAACTTGTGCGCATTCTGGGTCAGCTTCTCAACAAGCAGCTATTCCGACGATATCCCATGCTCAAGGAGAAGTTCCATGCTGTTGTGATCAGCTTTTTCAAGAAGTGTATGGAGCCGACAAACAAGCTCGTCCACGACTTGATCTCGATGGAGGCCTGCTACATCAACACTGGACACCCCGATTTCCTCAACGGGCATCGTGTAAGTGACATTTGGTTCCAATTTCTTTGTAAACGATCCTGACGGAAAGCAGGCTATGGCAATTATCAATGAACGCCAGCAAGCGAGCAAGCCTACGCAGGTAGACCCGAAGACGGGCAAGCCTCTGCCTCCTCGTGCAAACAGCCCGTCGGTCGATGCCGTAGCCGCCACAGACAACAGTGGTTCTGGATTCTTCGGCAGTTTCTGGGCATCCAAGAACAAGAAGAAGATGGCTGCCATGGAGCCTCCTCCACCCACCCTCAAGGCATCTGCCACTCTTTCTGAGCGTGAAGCTACAGAGGTCGAGGTGATCAGTAAGTTTTAGGTAAAACTTGCTAAGACAGCGGAAACTAATACGCGGATAGAGCTTCTTATCACTTCATACTTTAACATTGTCAAGCGCACCATGATCGACATGGTTCCCAAGGCCATCATGTACACTCTCGTTCAGTAAGTGGCATCGACAGCTTCGACTGAGGTTTGTGCTAACTTTTGGTCAGGTTCACCAAGGATGAGATGCAACGTGAACTGCTCGAGCAGATGTACCGTAATAACGAGCTGGACGAATTGCTCAAGGAGAGCGACTACACCATTCGCCGACGGAAGGAGTGCCAGCAGATGGTGGAGAGCCTGAGCCGCGCCAGCGAGATCGTCAGCCAAGTTCAATGATTGTCCAACGACACCCTGGATTGCTAACCCCAGTACTCTCGTTGATTCACTTGCCATCCATACTGGATCTTCCTGGACCTTTTTGGAGCGGCTTCTTGTGTCGGCTTTGAGGAGTTATATCTTATGTTATATTCTTCGCGAGGGCTTTTCAACGGCTCTAGAGAAAGTATGTCTTTCCAGATCTCCGGTTGTCAAGAGATTCTATACCACGAATTTGTATTGCCTAATGATTGCTGCGGATGATTCGCTTTTCCTTCTTGATTTATTAGAATTAAGACAGACGTTTATGAGTTCAGCATGATATCTTTTCTTATAACTGTACATATCACTGAATAAATCCTATGGCTTGATTCTATCATTTTTCTGACTTTGACTACTCAATTCACTTATTGTCCGTCCAGGTGGCGCAGCTATTGTGTATTCACCTGAGGGGTAAAAGTGGCTGAAAGATTACAAAGCTGGTACAAAATAGATAACACACGTCAGCCTCACAAAAACAGTTTAGCGCTCTCCGTTTAAGGTGCAGCACGTGCCATTATAGCGCTCAGTTAGCGTCATCATTTGAGCCAATGAGCGTTCAGCATGGTGAGCTGAAGAAGTATACAGATTAGGAAGTCTATCAAGTTCAGATCGACCCTCAACATGGGCATCTTGATACTCAGATCTGTAGGAAGAGACGAGAGGAGTTAGGAATTATACATGACATGATTCAATGTTGTAGTGAATGGCGGGGGTTAGCGCAGATGTCTTCTTGTACTGTCACCCCCCCTCGTCTTCGGCTCCTCCTCCTCCTCTTCTCTACCTGCCATCGAGGAGATTACTTCTTATTTTCTTGTCTTCTTACTGAAGGTTTCATTATCTTATTACTTCTCAGAGCTGCTTACCCATCGACGGCTTCTGCGCTGTGCCATTTGTCTGGTCTTCGCGGTGTTGGCAAGGTATGCCTATTCCGATTCCGCTGCAGCGTGGCCACATAACATACAGCTAACAGACCCAAAAGATCAGAGTAATCTCTCCAAACATTCTCTCAGTCTGAAACCTCAGTCTTCCTTTCTACGGTAAGAACGGCCCTCACTGTTGAAGCAGATGCAGACATATCTAACACGCAGCCAGGTACAAGATGTGCGAATATCTCCCCGTCTATCACAAACCTACCGGCTGCGTTGCATTCCCCAAGCATGTCGTCGAAGTCAAGGTCTATCTTGCCTGCTTGGAGATAATCAATGACCCGACTGGGGCTAAGGAGCGCTGCGATGACAAGGACTGTCATTTGGCTGGGTCGCTTGGTTCGACTCGGACCCGGGCGGAGTGTCCTCATTGTCTTTGTCCTCCTTGGGGGGTGATTGAGCCGTTGTATATTGTAAGTTATTTGATGTGGTTTTGTTTGGGTTAGTGTTGGTGCTGGTGCTGATTTTGTGGTAGGTGATCAGGGATCAGGAGTTTGCTTCGTTGATCGCTCAGGGTGGTTTGTTTTGATCGGTTGAGGAAGGCAATCTGGTTTGACTGGTTTCAATGGATGGAGGGGATAGGTGCAGTGATTGACATCGTGACGTCCTTTTGGTGATGCCATTTCCGGAAGCGAAGCTTGGGTGGAATGCGAAACGATGATAACGGCCTTTTGAATTTAGTTGAGCGTGGCCTGTAGCGCCGACAACGATGAAACGTCTTATGAACAAGATGGCACTTTCTCTATTTTGTAGTACTATGGCGATAGACATAATGCCAGCCTTCCTTGGCCAAGTCCTCGCGGACCCGATAATTCTCCTCGGCAATCTTCAACAGCCCCAAGTCCATATCCACCACGAGCACGCCTTCCTCGCTCCCCATCTTACCCACCGGGCCGACAATGGGGAGAGTCACGCGGGACATACCGAGGAATTTCTCATCGGCACCGGCAACGTTGACGAAGACAATGGCACAGGTATTCTCGAAGCAGCGAGACGTCAGCGTCGACTCAAGGAAGAGCGCTTCAGAGGTGGGGTTGTATGATAGCGCCTCGGGCGAGGCATCGTAGCGAGTCCCTTAGTAGGTCAACCAGCGATTCTTTCATAAATCAAGCAAAAAGAACGAGCGACTTACAGAAAGTAGGAATAATCACCACTTCCGCCCCATTCGCAATCAGTTCCCGGAATGCCTCTGGGAACGCCAGATCCCAGCATATCAGCAGCCCCACTTTCCCAATTGGCGTGTCGAATACCTCGTGCGGCGCCTCGCCGGACGAGGTGAGGTGAGGCCGCTCAGGATGCCAGATGTTCTTCTTCCGGTAGGAGCCGAGGATGCTGCCATCGTTGGAGATGAAGTATGCCGTGTTGTAGAGGCTGAATCGATCTTTCCCCTCGGCTTCGGTCTCATGTCTTTCGACGATGCTTCCCGGCACGAGGCAGATATGCAGCTCCTTTGCGAGGGCTTGGTAGGCGGATAAGTACTTCTTATACTCGCCAGCCTGGACGGTCCAGAGAGGGTCATCTGGAGCCCAGCCGTTCAGATGGTATCTGGCCAGAATGAGTTAGACTGTTCCTACGATTCGTCCAGACCAATGACTTACTCTGGTAGGACGGCTAGCTCGGCACCTTGGGCAGCCGCATCTCGAATGTAATTACACGCCCTGGCGTGGTTTTCTTCAATCGCGAGGTCCTAATGAAATCAKGCGTTAGATCCAGCTTAAAGGGGGCCTCGGAGCAGATAAAATCTGGGGTGCTCTCCAGATAGCATATCACCGCGGTGCGCCTTGTAGTGACGTAACTTGCCTTAATGTGCCATTGGATCACCGCGACTCGACGAATTGGTGCCATTTCAGACTTTGTGGATTGCGACTCTCAATATAGGGTTCTGAGAATCTTTCAAGGATGTGATCAGGGGATGTACTCTCGATGTACTTATCTCAAGGAAAGTTGGAGAATTAGGCCGTTGGGGTAACCTGTGGGGTTGAGTATCTCCATACCCCGCTCTGATGAACTCCTGCCCTATCGAGTACTCAAACTTCAGCCACATCCAACAGTCGCCTTTGGAGTTACAATCTCGCCTCGATGCTATGCCAGTCGCTCTCCGTGTCATTCTATACAGCGTGTGTTAAGGGTTGAAGTGACCTTTTACGGAGTACCATACAATCATTCACAGAGACTGACTAGTCTCGGCAATAAGTTTCGAATGACTGATTTCAAGAAGAAAAGACGTCTCATTATCATTAATATTATCTGGTCTATCTAGCTTCATAAGTCGTACATATTAGTGTCCGATTACGCGGTCGTTCTTCAAGCAGTACATTGTATCAGAGCTAGGCCATCGCTCCAGCCACCGAGAAAGTCGGCTTCTTGCTCACCCGATACACCAGCCTGTCGGTCCAAAAATGCGAAAAGACAGCATGGACTGTTGGAATTCCACCGAAGACAGTTCCTGCAATAGGAAAGCAGACGCGCTCCACTAGCTGCGCAGGACTCCACCAGACCCGCTCTGAGAATCCTGCATCAGCCACATTTGCTTGTTGCATATCTGTTTTCCGCGTGCGCACACAGAGTGCATGCCATGGCTCGTACAGAAAAATGCAGATATTCATTCCAATAAATGACGATGCGCGTAGCAGGTTGGTAAGCTCGAACGCCCACGCCATGGTCGGATGGAGGGAAGCTGGAGGCGTCAACAGAGTATAGATCGTAGAGAATAGCATGAGTATAATCAGATGGCAAGGAAGGAAATGAGCTTCCCAGAGCAAATGAACAAGGGCAATGTGCCTCGGCMGGAAGAACAGACAGCGGCAATGAGAGCGAATGTAACTGATAGTACGCCGTACGGCGAAACCCGAGTCAAGTGCACCCCACATATGCCTCAACGCCTGTCGATAACGGGCACGGCAGGTATCCAACGACCGTCGCCAGCCTCGGCCAGTATCACTCGAGACATTGCACTGACTTGCGGGGACGTAGACCGGGCGAGTGACGACGTTGCCTGCAGTCTCAAAATAGCACTTGAGCATCATATGCATGTCTTCCCCGATCGCAGTAGAATCACTGTCCCAGCCACCAATCCTCTCGGCCAGAGACAGCGGCAATGAGTATACCGATGTTGGGATTGAAACACATGTCCCAGGGTACATGGTGGACAAACCGGCGAATCCCCAAAGTAGGTCTGCGCAACGGACCAGAACTGGAGTCTCGTGCGAATTGCGGTCGAATATTATAGGGCAGCAATATAGAGTCCGATCTGCTTCCGAGATGTGCGCATAATGAAGGCGCCGGATTTCTGTAAAGTAATCCTGCCAAAAATGCGTATCGGCTATAACCCGGTTAGGGCTATGAACTGAGCAGAAAGAAGGGCCAACACCTACCATCCATGACCGTAACAATCACATCACAATGTCCCGAGTCCAGCTCGGCCCTGTGAACTTCCATAATATGTCGGGCTGCAAAGGCCACATTTGAGCTCTTTCCTGCTATTTCGCCGGGTAAACCCGCAGGGTGGAAGGTAGCATGAATATGGAGGAAGGACGGCTCGAATGCTGATGCCAGCTTGGCTGCTTTTTCGGCGACGCCGGCTTCTTTCTGTTCCATTGCGAGGTATATCTGATTTGCGAAGACCCAATATTAGTTGCATGAAGCACGAACAGTCTCGTCCAGCACCCACCTCATACTGTGTCCGTGCCCTTGGGTGGCTCGCCAGAACGTCTAGGGTAGTCCGCAATGTATGTAGGTCCTCACAGTAGTTCGGAACGATGATTGCGTGAATGACCTCCAGTCCATCAGAATCGCGAGTCGTATCGCTCATCAGCGGATCAAATACATCCGAATCCGTGTCTGTGAGTGTCGACGTGTCCGAGAGCCATTTATCTTTGTCCACAGAAATGCGAGGTTGCGCAAAGTTTCGGCGCTGGAGAACCTCCTTTGTCTTCCGGGTCACACTTGAGAGGGTCCATCCCAGACGGGTGGTAAAGGCGAACATACTGACATGGACAAGGACGGTGTATATGACAAACAACTGCTGGGCCATGTTGAGATTGTGCGGCTGATTCCCGGGCGTATCTTTTGGCGAGGATGGCGACGGGCCCTTCCATTTCCAAAAGGCGACTGCATCACTGGAGGTCAACCGAAGAAGTACAATCAACGCAATGATACTGAAGCCGGGCAAGCAGCGTGATGCCCACTGGAAGACCATTTTGTGATAAGCCTGGTTAGTAAATACCTGCAGCAGAATCCTTCACCCCGCAGACGGGGGAAACTAATCAATTCTCTACGAAGCCATGGTATATAAACCGTCAAGATGCTAAGAAAAAGGGGTATTGGACGAAATGGCCCTACTCCTCATGACCTCCACAGGGACGCACTAGGTAGCGGTCCGCTGGAAGCGCTGGAGTATATTGAGTATAACGGCCTGACGAATGGACCATTGACAACATCGGAATAAGCATCATGGCCCTATCATTCGACAGTTCAGCTCTAGGAGGCTGTATATTATGATCAGCGATAGAGACAAGGTTCGTTAGCCGTGGGAATCATTCGAACCTGATACAGGCACTAAAGCGCCTGCACGCGTTCGGTGGGCTGTGATTTTCAGGCGGATTAGCAGAAACACCGTATCAGGCTCTTTCACTTGGGAGTCAGCAGGCCCAACCCCCTTCCACGTGCCTGACCAAGAAGGAATGAGGTTTTAACCGTGAGCGACAAGGGCTTAGAACGTCTTCAGAGTCGGAGGCTAGCAAGAAGAAAGCGGCTTAGCAGTTCTCTGGGAGATAAAGATCGGGCTCTTTCCATGGGAGCAACGCTCGGATCAGCTGTGGACACTCCCAAGCTTTGAAGGCCAGTAAAATGGCGGTGTCAGGGAGAGGTCAATTTCCACCCTTCTCTCCAGCATAGCACGCTCTATGTGAGTCAGACAAAAGCCATGAGAGGCCCTGAAAAGCATCCCATGACCATTCGGAGTACAAGCCGGACAGGGAGGCCATCATTTCGTAGCCGCTGTTAAGTAATTTGGGCAATCAGCAGTGAACTCGACGCCGAGCAGCAGTGTCTGAGTGGTGGAGATGAAGCGCAATCGTCGCGTATAGAGCAGAATGGCAGCCAAAGCGGCGCCTGAGGCACACACATAACAGTCTTTACCCTTTCGGTAGACTCGCACGGGCTGCAAAAGAGGAGTGGAGCCCACCCACGTGCATATGGCTATGTTGATTGGCTCGCTTGTGTGAATCAGACCAATAGGCTCGGGCCAATGAGAAAGCAGCAAAGACCGCGTGGGCCAGTTGATGGATCAATTCAGTCCCTTGTCAGCTTCTTATTTCAACCAGTCTGCTTATCTTTAGTCATCCAGGATGCTGATCAAGAGGTCAAAGGGGTCACAGCAGGCTTGAGAAGATTGAGGAGATGCACTCCATTCAGCCGAATGCTAGAGTCGGCCATGGTCCTGGTGACTATGTGGGTTGACCCGTGGTCATGTCTTCACCCAAGACCCCACGATAGACGCTCGCCCACTTTTTGGAGTGTCTCAGCTGCGTCGACTACTCCATATGAAAACTGCCTACATACCTGTTAGCTAAAGGTCCAATAGTCTTCAAGCAAATACTCACATGCAGCCAAACTTGCCTTCTTCTCTGCCTTACGCATGTCGGATGCCGCAGACATGGCTAGATAAGGGCTTCACACGCTCAGACTATGCTTTTAATCACAGAGGGTGCATGAGACTTCGCGAGTAAGCCACTTAAACTGTGTGACCAGTCATTGTGCGATCAATACCTTTAGCCAGGATTCAGTTCACTTACAAAGAGAGCTCGACTGTCCTGTCTACTAGTTGCTAGAAGCTTTCCGATCTCGGTTGCAAATGTAAAGGCAATAATGTTACCCCAACACGAGCTGATATTAGAGTGACACTAAGCACTCTATCCAAAATATCTGCAGTGAGTGAACGAAATATCTGCAACAATTTGCTCTTCAATGACAAAAAGGCATGATTCTTCGACTACCCAGACGCCCAAATTTACCCGAGCAGTAAATGAAACGCATATTGTGGTCGAAGAAAGGAGTGGCAGCAGCTTAATACCTCTCAAGACATCACACCATAACTAATGAGAACACAGTCTCAACTCCCCCTGGTTCGCCCGCTCATGCGCTATAATGCCGCAAAACACCTTGTTGGGATAAGTATAGATGACCCTCGCTGGACCTGGGTCTTCCTTGGGTTTCTTCGAGTCAAACTTATAGTCGTGGCCATCAGGGAAAGTTGGGAACTCCAGGAGATAGTGGTCATCCTTGCCCATGCCGTTCTGGCTATGCTTCGGGGGACGGTCACAGTCGGAATTCCCAAACTTAATGGGCGTGCGACCCTTGATGAGCTTGCCATCCCCGTCATAGCCGTTGGTGAACCAGTGCGGGTAGCTGCTACCAGTCTTGCCGTCGGAGAGAGGTGCGTGGTGAGAGTTGCTCTCGGCCTTGGCTTGATTGTAGAGAAGGCGCTTGTCTTCCCATTTGTTTGTTTTGGGATTCAGCTGCTGGTTGATACATGTCCAGGTCTGTGGGGTCATGTCAGTTACCCTCTCGAAGGCCTCTTTAAGGCGACTCTTACCGCACGAGCCTCGAGGGGCGAGGGAGCAGCTAGAACAGACACGGCTGTGGCAGCCAGCAGGAAAAGGTTTTTGATTGCGACCATCTTGGATGCAGGCGGCACGATTGTGACGATGTCTTCCAATATGGTTGGGACAAGCGAGAGGATTCAACAGCTTTTATATCTGGCATTACTGGTTCAGGACATGGGATTGTCGCAAAAAGGGGTCCTCCGTCCCCTGCGCACCTCAGATGATGTTGGATAAGCATCCCTGTATGTGGAGGTAATTGTTGGGGCCAAGAGACGGCACTTACAGGGTAAATGGGGCATTGATCTACCAAGGCGAGTGAGAGCTTTTAAAGTCAATGTAACGTCGTCAGCTTAGAGGCAAGAGAAGTTTGATCCTTTGGGGCAAGTTTACCTAATAGAGAGAGAAGGCATGACCGTAAGCTTATGGAATAGATCCTAGACCCAAGCTTCATGCATGTTTGCTCTGAAGACTAGACCGCGGATTGGATCATGTCAAGAGCTGAAAAGGGCACTACTGTACGCTTGCGGGTGAGACAGTGACCATTTTTAAAGAGGCAACTGGTTGGAAATGCCTCGTTGTTGCCTGATTCCATTTTTGGCCCCAGGAACACATGCCATTTGAAACACAGCTGAGCTGATGTCAGATTCCCAAGTGGACAGCGTCAGATCAATTCGCCTCAAGTCTCGAGTCAACAATACATTTCTGCTTCGATCCTCTTTTTATGTTCTTTCTGCTTCTCTCATTTTCTTGTCGTGGCCCATATCGCGCAGTCCGTATCCCACCCCGTTCTTGTTGTTCCCCGCTTTCTCCGTCACACCAGCTAAAACTACCATTTTCAACTCCAAAGTAGAAGGAGTTACAATCTCACTATGTCTTCTCTTCATCTCGAATTAAAAGACGACGATCCATGGTTTATCGAGGAAAAAATCTTCAAGATCCTGCGGGACTACCTACAAGATCCCACCGCATCCCCCGCACACACAGCCCAAGCACTAGACCAACTGTTTCCTGCACACCGTGCTGACGAGGATCAACCTGCAGGCGAGCCTCGCGAGGACCCAGGAAGTTTTCTCTGGCATTTCTGGGGCGTGGTTCATAATGTGGCCCAGCAGATCCCCTACACTGCTCATGAACAGGACAGACTCGCAGAGCTGATCAAGGCCTTGAAAGATCTAACTTCCCAGACAAAAACAGTCTACATGGCATCATGGGACCAGAGCTTTGACTTGTGGGGAGATTTGCCTATGCTAGGTCCAACGTTCAGGGAAATGTATGATCGTAAGTATAGATTTCTGCAAGCCGCATCAGGATCTTTCTATTGACAGATTGATAGGCATGGTCTCTCTGAGTGATGAGGAGGAGCGTGAACATTGGCAGAGCTTGAATGCTTATGCTGCTCGCTTGACTAGAGATGGCTCTGCTGATTTGATCATCTTCGCTAAATATGCGATCGAAGGAATGTTACCAGAAGAGTTGGAGCAAGCGCTCGTCGGTGATACGCCCAGATCTGTTCTGGAATGTAGGATAGCTGTGGCAGCGGAATGGGTCATACATTGCGGACAGAGACTTGTGGCCCAGGAAGATGGAGGAATTGATATGAAAAGTTGGCACAGGTGCAAGGAAAGGTTCAGCAACGTCTCTGATAATGCTTCGATGAGTCCGCAAACTCTGGAAAGAGCTCAAAAGGCAAAGCAGGTTATGGAAGCACTGCAGCCGAGATGAATATGTATTTTTACTTTAACCCGGACGAAGATGTGCCAATACGAGGTAGATGGCGGAGGTGCGATAGCGGCAAATGATCACAACACCTCGAAGCCCATTTTTTTTTTTTTTGTAAGAAAGAGACCTTATATTTCAGGGGAAAGCTATCCTCCTCACCTATTCTCCCACGAATTCATATGAGGTCGCTGTGTTGTTGGGCATCACAGGGTCGCGTGACCCACAATTACTTAGTGACATGCCTTGGGATCGGGCGCCAAGAGAGAAACAAGGAACAAGACCCAAAAAAAGACTGCGGCCAAACTTCGGGAACGTCGGCTGCATCTTATAACCTGTAAACTTAACACTGGACAGCAACATTGAAATGGCGCCTCTAACAGCTCAAGAGATCATCGCTCATCCAGCATATGAGACTGTAGATTGGAAACTCCCTCCCACAACCTCGGGCCGGGCCCTGGTGGCTCAGAACAGGCGCGGTGGCCCGTTCAGCCTCAACTACGAGATCCATGGCACGGGACCCGTGAAACTAGTTGTCAGTATTCCATTGCTTGCGCGCATGCAGTAATCCAGCTGCAAGGATCATTTTTAGGGAAAGTACGATACTAATGCCAATCAGTGGATCATGGGGCTAAATGCCGTCCTGAAAGACTGGAAGCGCCAAACCAAGTACTTCGGCCACCTCAACGGCTCGAAATACTCCTGTCTGGTCTTCGATAATCGCGGGGTTGGCCAATCCGACAAACCCACCTGCTTCTACTCCACAAGCGAGATGGCCCGCGATGTCGTGGATCTGGTCAGCTCGCTGGGCTGGATCGACCTGAAAGCTCCCGCGACACGCGCTATCCACGTCATCGGCGCCAGCATGGGCGGCATGATCGCCCAGGAAGTCGCGATGCTCATCCCAGACCGGCTGGCTAGCCTGACGCTCTGCTGTACGGCTCCGCGACTAGTGCGTACAACGCCCTTCTTTGAGAACCTGCAGCAGCGCGCGAGCATGTTCATCCCGCGACATGTGGACGTGGAAATCGACCGCATCGCGGCGACGCTGTTTGCGAGTGAATTTCTGGCGCAGCCGGATACGGAGAACGAGGACCCTGCCTTGAATTTTCCGACGAAGAGGGATCGCTTTGCGGCGGGGCATTTGAAGAAGAAGGCGGATACGGAGTCGTATACGCCCAAAGGGTTCTTGTTGCAGGTGACTGCTTGTTATTTTCACCATAAGTCTCCGGAGCAGTTGAGGGCTTTGGGGGATGCGGTGGGCAGGGAGCGGATTGCTGTTTTGCATGGGACGGAGGATCGAATGCTTACGTTTCGTCATGGGGAGCTTTTGAAGGAGGAGATTGGTGAGGGGATTACATGGCGGGTTTTTGAAGGCGCCGGGCATATGTTGGGGTGGGAGACGGAGCATGAGATAAATCGGTCGATACAGGAATTGGTGGACCGATATAGTTGATGTTTGATTAGATCTATTATATATATGCTGTCCCCGTACTCTAGAATCTGAGCGTTTACCTTCATTTTAAATTCTAGTTTCTATGCGTTCTTTGTTTCAGAGTCCAAATTTGACGTCTAATGTTGGAGCAACGCAATGATGGAGAAAAAGCAAAGAGAGGTCTGTGCACCTGCAGAGTCCTGAATAGTAATCAGAAAAGGTCCTGAACAGTAATCAGAAAAGGCGAATCTTGAGATCGGATATGATTAGTCCATTTATCCGTTATGATGCATCGATAAACACGAGGCAAAATAGTACGGCCGTGCCACCACTCAGGGCCCCTGTCAATCACCTGCCGCAAGCGGGTGATGACGGTCTCTGATGTTCCTCAAGAGGCATGCAATCAACTCAAAGCACCTTTCATCTGACCTTGTCACTACCGGTCACTTGATAGTCTTGACATTTCAGCCGCGCCGTGGCATAAATACTCTACTCCTTCCAGCAACTCGCCTTGTCCATTACCCACAATCAAGTCAAAAATGGCAGAAGTCACAGATTCCAAAGAACTTCCTCTTCACAAAGGCGATTACCGTCCCGCAGGGCCCGACGACCTGCGGGCTCCATGCCCCGTTCTTAACTCGCTAGCAAACCACGGGATCATTGCACGCAATGGCCGCAACATCACCGCCGCCGAGTTAAAAGCCGCGCTACGCTATCTTGGGATGGGCATCGATGTCATCGCAATACTCGTCAACGGCGCGTTCCAAGTTCATTCTGACGACCCGAAGAAAATGGCCCGGCTCGGACTACGAGACAATGACCAAGTCAACGAAGACGGCGTGCCCGTGCTGAACCTCGACCAGGTCGGCCGACCTCACGCCGTGGAGCACGATGTCTCTGTAACCCGGCAGGACCGCGCCCTGGGCGACTGCATGCACGTGAACCCAGACCTTATGGAGCGATTCCTCGCGGCTCCCAAAACAGAGAAGGGTTTCAGCGCGTCGGATTTCGGCAAGTATCGCAAGACGCGATTCGACGAGCAGAAGAGAGACAATCCGGCCTTGGAGTTCGATAGGATGAACCACTTTAGTGGATGCGCGGAGCTGGGGGCGGTTCAGTGTATATTTGGTCGGGGCTTCCCGTATCGTGTGCCCGAGGAGTACATAGAAGCCCTGTTTGGCGAGGAGCGTTTACCCATCGAGGAGGGATGGAAGCCGCGACGATTACCGCTGCTGTTGCCGGAGCTCGGGCCGGTGATTCTGAGGATTTCGTATTTTGCGTGGCCTTTTTGAGGTCTCTATGGATTAGAATAAGCGGTGGGCAACATTCAGCATCTGAGTCTAGCTACACTGCGTTGTGATTGGTCGTGCGGTGCTATGAGATTTAGCCTTTGGAGTCGGTTTCCTGTGTGAGTGTCCGACGACTAATAGATTCGTTTTCGGTGAAATTTTTCCTTTTTTCTGTCAAACATGTCCTGCACTGATCACTTTTGTACTGGTGCATGTCGCATGACCACGTGCATCGAATGGAGTCGTCACTTCAGTGCGACCCATTTTCTTCGATCTCTTGCAAATTCGATTGACCTCAGCCACTTACCGAAGCTTGCATGCCTTGCTAAAGAGTAGCTCAGCCTCGTGCTCAGTTCATGCCAGTAGTAACAGGGCAGTAAGTTATGGTCTAGGGGTACTCTGGAATGATTCGGCTTCCCTGTGCCGCTTGTCGGAAAGTAGTTTTGATGCGGGCCGAAGCAGAACAATCCAACTAAACTAAACTTTTAATCTCGAGAAATCTTTATATAGGTGGATCCTACAATATGGAGAAGGGCATGTAATTACTCCAATGTCGATAAAGAGAGAACAAAATCCCGAGCTGACATTTTACTGACCGTGGGCATGCCGACTTCAAACGGGTTTGCACTGCGTAAAGTGTAATGGTAAATTACGGACCAAAGCTTAATCCATATAGAGTGTGTATTTGTAGTACCGAGAAACAAGTAGGTACTTCCCCACTTGAAACGTCCTAGGCAAACTGCAAAAGACATGAAACTACTAAACTCCCAGGTTACAAATCAGAGTCAAAGTATTTTTAGTTTGTATTGGACCTAAGTTACCGTCCCTGACTTTGGTATTAGGTGTTTCATCAGTAGTGTAGAAGACTTATCTTGCAACCAGTTGTTATCAGTGGCTTTCATAGTGTACACCGCTTCTATTGTAATATCTATCAATTTATCAATAGCAGGACTGATATTACCCAGGATGACCATCATCATGACAGTAAGCTGCAGATTTTAGTGCGGTGATATATGCACAAATCCTTGTGGGGCCACGCCGAGAGCACTGCGGCTATCAAACCTGGAAGTGATGCAGCCAAGACGGTAACAATACGGAGTAGTATCCATTCATCAGACATACCAGATGGTCCAGTCTGGCCGGTCGCAGCCACCACAGTGCTGACCCGATGGTCGGGACTGGTCCTCCCTCGGCCATTACCGCTACTGGTAGGTGTGACACTGAGCAGTTTAGCAGTCAAGGAGTCAGCTACCTCTCTAAGCGAACATGGAAGCAGAATAATAATACACCAAGCTTACTCCGTACTGGGTTTGTTCGAGTCTGGAATCTGAAATCTGGATTTGCCTCTGCAGCTCCACAAAATCAACGGTTCCGTCGTGAGGTTAGGATTTAATTTAATTTTTGATAGGCAAAAATTCTCTCACTCACCGTCTAAACCTATTCCTGAATCAACCCCGGCCCATCGCAATTTTCTCCTTAGTCTGACGTTTGTCCATTGCCATTTTCTTTTCCAAATCTCCTTCTCACATCTCTTCTTCCCAGTCCTCTATTTTCTATACATCTGAGCACTGAGATTGGTTTTGTTATGCTTAGTCTTGCCTCTGCGGCCTCCAAGATTCTCAATTCAGTTCTGCCTGCTTGTCGTGCTCCACAATGTTCTTGGCTTTCATGACTGCTTGTCTTCTCCTGAACTACTACTTTCCAGTGACTCGAGGCTAACACTGGTTGGTTCTGGGACTTGTTCTGCATCCATAACTTGCGCGCAGCTTCGGAGATTTGCAGTGACGGAATTCGTGCGGTAGATCTCTCTCGTGTGGCGGCGGATCAACGCCCTTTCAAACTCAGACCCCTCCTCGAAGAACATTACTTCGTTCCTTCGTTCTCAGGGAGTCTCGTCGACGGTTTATTCGATCGCAGAGGTTCTTCGTGGACAGCGTCAGGTAGTCTCTGCGAGACGTCGTTGTCGTCCAGTTCCTGCCACAATGTATACTCCGCTGCTTCGGAGGTTGGCTTCGATGAAGTCTMGCATTCCGCTGATAAGCGGGATTCATCTCAACTTTATCTCAGTGCATTACATTTACATTATCGCCATGACACTGATAACTTCCATTATGCTTTATCCAGGAAGTGATTTTGCCTATATTGACATCCTTTTCTTTTGTTCCGGCGCGGCAACTCAGAGCGGTCTCAATACGATAGATTTCAACAAGTTAAAAACGTACCAGCAGGTGATTCTGTACTTCAGTTCCATGCTCACGACTCCGATTTTCATCCACTCGGCCCTCGTCTTCATCCGGCTGTATTGGTTCGAGAAGCGCTTCCAACACATCGTGCAGGATACTCGAGCGATGCGTCATACAACGACGAGAATGCGAACGATAAGTCGAGATAAGGATGCAACTTCGCTAGGAAGGGAAGAAGCTGGAATCGCTGCTCGCCCGATTGATATGCAGCGCAATAACACCCAGGAATCCAATGAAAGAGGCCGCGAGGCGGCTGCTGGAACCTCCGAGTATGGATCGACTCCAGGCTCACCTTCCCGATTTAATAAACCGGACAGTTCGGAGGCTCAAGCGGGTGGTCTGAATAGCACTGTAGGGCTCGGCTTGGGCAGCCTTCGGATGCCGACACAGTTGAGTCCCGACCATCACATTGCTTTCCTGGAGAATCAACGGAAGAATAAAGGGGCATTGCGCATTCCCAGCCCTCGGGAGTATGACCGCGGCGGCGTCCMCGAAGTCCTGGAGGAAGCAGATGATGAAGGCGACGGATCCAAGCGGTCGCATAGCAGCGAGTCTGACGAAGAGAGCTCTCGGAATTCGGGGGAATCGGACCACGTGGGACCGCTGGAAGGGCCGCACATCACCATCAACGAACCCGACATGCAGCAGACGAGAACCAGACTTTCGACGTTCCCCCGTCTGGACACTCGTCCCACTTTTCGTGACTCGAAGGATCTGAACGATACATCGGCCCTGGAACGTTCAAGGTCACGACGCCCTACCCTTAGCAATCTTGTTCGCTCCTTGACCCACGAGCGGGAACGTACGACACTTCCATATCTCAGTTGGAACGCTACTGTTGCACGAAATTCCAACTTCGTTGATTTGACCGAGGAGCAGCGTGATGAGCTGGGAGGTATCGAATACCGAGCCTTGAAGACTCTGGCCATCGTACTCACTTCTTATTATCTCTTCTTCCACATTCTGGGAATGGTCTGTCTTGTCGGTTGGATTATGACCACTCACTGGGGTCAGGTCGTGGAGCAAATCGGACAAGGCCGCCCTTGGTGGGGCATCTTCACCGCGGGATCTGCTTTCAACGACGTCGGCTTCACTCTGACCCCGGACTCCATGATTTCGTTCCAAACAGCTATATTTCCTCTTCTCCTCATGACTTTTCTTATCGTTATTGGCAACACCGGCTTTCCCTGTATGCTCCGATTGATCATCTGGGCTCTGTCGAAAATTGTTCCACGCGAGAGCGCCGTTTGGGAGGAGCTCAAGTTTCTGTTGGATCATCCTCGCCGATGCTTTACCTTACTCTTCCCGCGAAACGCGACCTGGTGGCTGTTCGCGATCCTCGTGGCGCTGAACATAATTGACTTGATATTCTTCATTATTCTCGACTTGAACGATCCGACGGTTACCTCTTTGTCACCGGGCATTCGGGTACTTGACGGCCTTTTCCAAGCAGCATCCACACGGACTGCTGGATTTAGTGTGGTGAACGTAGCGGACCTTCATCCTGCAATTCAGGTCTCCTACATGATTATGATGTATATTTCGGTTTTCCCCATCGCCATTTCCATGCGAAGAACCAATGTCTACGAGGAGAAGAGTCTCGGCATTTATGCGGAGGACGAAGACACGGACGAACCACAGCACCCCCCAAGTTACATTGGGTTCCATTTAAGAAGGCAGCTGAGTTTCGACTTATGGTATGTCTTTCTTGGGCTGTTTGTAATTGCCATCGTGGAGGGCACCCGCCTCCAGTCGCAAGCCGAGTATGCTTTCCAGTTATGGGCAGTGCTTTTTGAGATTGTCTCCGCCTATGGTACCGTGGGCATGTCATTGGGATATCCAAATGTCAACACGTCTTTCAGTGGCCAATTCAAGGTTTTGTCAAAGCTCATCATCATTGCAATGCAAATCCGTGGTCGACATCGTGGTCTCCCATACGCCCTCGACCGTGCAATTTTGCTTCCGTCGGAATCTCTTAAGGAGAAGGATGTGCAGGATGCAGAGAGACGAATGCGCCGGCGTGTCTCCAACCTCAGTACCATGTCTGGGATGGACCGAACGCATTCGCAAGCGCGGACAGAGAATGGTGTCGCAACCGGCGCCGAGGATAAGGACAGGGGCGCAGCGCCATGGACAAACGGGGACAATATCATCCGCCGGCACTCGACAATGCGGTCGCAAAAATCCCAGGGACCCCAGCGGTAGGAGTTTGTCATTTGGACTATTAAGAGCAGTGCTATTTAATTCTATGGGTCGCTTGACACATTTCAGGTGTTCTGGTGGCGTTTTGTTTGATCTGCACATACTAATCGAAGTCTTCAGGCATATATGGGGGATTGTTTATTGAGCGTCTGTATTATTTGGCGAGGATTTGTCGTCGTTATTTTATATGTTCGATATCCTCACGGCGGGAGATGTTGTTCTCAAATAGATATGGTTGACCATTTACCTTCTATATTAAGCGACACAGCTGGCTGTCTTCGTTATCATGATCATTTCAAGTTAAAGCTCTGGGAGATCAATAAGTTTTCACACCAGCTGGGGCAAAGTAGAATGTTACAAGTATCTGCCAGTCTTCTGAGACAGCTGAAACAGAAATTGAGATCGTCCAAAGCTAGCGAAGCGTTGTATATGAATCTAGTGGACCGACTCCAGGCAGCAATCAATGAAACAGATCTCAAGACATGAAATCTGGAAAGGACTTTACTTGGCGTTCTATTCACGCTGTAATTCTGTCTTTGGCTTGAAATTAGCTGCCATGGAATGGTAATTCTTAATTGATACTTGCAAGTTGCACAGCATGATGCAGAACGGTTGGTACCCTGTACCTGTATGTATACACCTTTCTCCACAGTGAAACAGACTCCATGGGGAGCCATTTTCCGTGCCCAATTTCCCCATGACGAGTTGCAAGGGGAAGTAAAAACCATAATCGATATCTACTTAAGATTCGTAGGAATTTCGACATGGTCATACACAATACAGTTGATAATTCTATAGCGTCGCTTTGTGGGTGATTGCTTCGCAGAGAAGGGCTTGTTAGTCTTGGCGGAAGCTTCGCTTTCTTCTTGCCCTTTGCCTCGCCCCTGCCCCTGCCACTATTACGTATTACTGTCTGCTCAAGTATGGGTGAGCCGTTCCTTGAACAATTGCTCTGTTACTTTTTAACTAGTGAGGCCTTTGTTAGGGTGGAGACGTTTTTCTGGATTTATTGTCTCGCAAAAAGCAAGAATACACTGCTGTATGAAATTTACGTTGTGTCAGGTACCATGCCGGATAGGGAAGCCTTGTCTGTTTTAGGTCTAACGCAAGGGACCACACACACTACGGAGTACATACATTGCCTGTTTTAGACGGTACATCTGGTCGACACTTTTGGCTGGTGTACGGAGTTCTCCGTAGTTGGTTGACATGAGATTAAAAAGAAAATATGAAGAGGATCTCCTGATAAACTTAATCTTGGGCGGGCTAAGTGCGCAAGGCTGCTTGACTCAATCTAACTTATGGGGTGTGCAATGTAGCTCATCTCTCGCTGCATGCAGCCGTGCATGCCGGTTGCCTAATTTGGATATGATCGGTGGCTGCTTCTCATGTTGTGCATGACGACATCCCTGACTTCGTTCGTGACATTCCACTTCTTCCATCGCAACTCCATTCGTCATCAACTATCCAGCTCGGCGCAATTCAGATTCAGTTACTGGTATCCATTGCGTTCTGACTCCCGCGAATCGTGTACTCGCAATAAAACCCGCAGCATATGGCTGAAAAGCCGTACAGCGGCACCGCCAACGACTACAGTCGATATGGCGGTGTCTCAACGCAGGTCGGCCATTTCGGAGTGGATGAGCTCCAAACGTCAAAGCCTGCTTCTTTCGGCGTTCAAGAAGACCCTTCGTCTGAGGCCGTCAAGCCGTGGTGGAATCCTCACGGTTGGTCGCTACGCGCAAAGCTCATTGCGGGCGTGGTGATTGTCGTGGCTATTATCGGTGCTATCGTTGGGGCCGTAGAGGGAACGAGGGCCAATCGGTATCCCGATTATTCAAGGCTTGACTACAGGTTGTTGGACACATACTCGGGGCCGACGTTTCTGGACAAGTTCAATTATTTTTCGGATAAGGATCCCACGAATGGATTTGTGCAGTAAGTGTTCCCTTCTGTTTTGTGTCTTGGAGAGCTTGGGTTGATTCTCGGGCAGATATGTGGATAGGATCACAGCTGGAAAGCTCAACCTGACCTATGCTACGGAATCCTCTGTCATTCTGAGAGTGGATACATCTACAGAGTCTCCCAGCAATGGCAGACGGTCTGTTCGGCTGGAGTCCAAGAAGTCTTACGACACTGGCCTTTTCATTTTTGACATTGTCCATACGCCCTATGGCTGCGGGACATGGCCCGCTCTATGGCTCAGTGATACGTACAATTGGCCACTGAACGGCGAGATTGATGTTGTGGAGGCCAACAACGGAGGCACTGAAGGGAATGCAGTAACCCTGCATACGACTCCCGGCTGTGACATGAAGGCCAAACGGAAGCAGACAGGCCATGCACTGTACCACCAGTGTGACAATAGCACGCATGGCAATGCGGGCTGTGGCGTCCAAGCTCCACCTGCCTCTTATGGCCCAGAGCTCAATGACAATGGGGGAGGTGTAAGTCTTTTCGTCCAAGGCAGTTTTCTTCAACATGCTAAAAAATGCAGGTTTATGCTCTGGAACTACGTACTGCTGGCATCCGAGCTTGGTTTTTCCCTCGGGGTGCGATACCAAACGACGTTTCAGATAACATACCAGATCCATCGACGTGGGGAACTGCATTGGCCGACTTTCCGAATACCAACTGCGATATTGCGTCCCATTTCAGCAACCAGAGTATCATTGCCAATATTGATCTCTGTGGCCAGCTGGGCGCACAGCCTCAGTTCTACACTGACTTATACAACTGTCCCGGCACGTGCAGCAGTTTTATTGCGCGCAATCCTGCCAATCTTACCGAGGCTTTCTGGGAGTTTAAGAGTTTCAAGGTCTATCAGGCTCAGTAGGGTGGCGTTTTCTGCATTTTCACGGCGTTCGAAATAATGGTTGGGGATGATTTGGCTCTATGGCAGTTATGTCCCTTTTCACGAATAAATGGCGTTCGTTCAGGCTTTGGGTACCCACTTAATCCCCTGTCATGCGAGTCGTTGGATTGTATAGATTGTGTTGAAATGCGTCTGTTTCTTAGATTTCTTACAATACCACGACAAGTCCTATGCTATTCCTTAAGCTCAACATATTGCCAGATATTGTTGAGATAGTAATGGTGGTGTAGGTGAGATCGTCGGCTGCAATAGCGCTATTTGGGATCTGTCTCCGGCTGATTCAGTTGGTATTGCACGCAGTTTACCAAGTATAGAGCATTCATGTCCACCTTAACCAGATAGCATAGTAATGACTATACACCACTGAAGATGTTGAATTCAAATCCAACCCAAACAGCTGCAGTAGTCCACAGATTTGCGTGGGATCATATTGCATGTTTACAGGTCACTGCCACTCGAGGAACGTGACCTGCGTGGCCCGCGCGGCGTGGCACTTCTTCGTGTACTCGTTTTGGTAGACGGATGTGTTCTTTTGGTACGCCTCGATGAAGCAGTCCGAGTCAACGACTGCGAACGTCGCGGTCCAGTCTGCGCCGTGCAGGTCGTAGGTGTAGTATGGCTGGCCTGTGGTGCCGAAGTACCAGCGGGAGTCGTAGAGGGGCGCAACCTTCGTCTCGAAGTCCACGCCGCTCTAGCCCTTGACGACGTCGTGGTCCCCCAGGCATTGGTACCAGGTGGCGTTGTCGAAGACGCCGCCGCGGTACATGTCTACCCAGGCCTCCTGGAAGCGGAGGATGGCACCGGTGGTGAAGTTGACGCCGCTGTCGTAGAAGTTGTCGCCGACGGAGACGAAGGCGCTGCAATTCTTCTTCGCGCAGACATTGCGGATGTATGCGGCGGTGTCGGCTGGTTGAGTGTTAGGAAAGCAGACTTCGGGTTTCTGGAGAACTGGTGTTGAGACTTGCCTTGTAGAGCTGTCGCGTCTGTGACGGCGGCGCGGTCGCCCGGGTCGCAGTCGTTCTGGACCTCCCGGGGGATAGTGATGTTTTTGGCGATCAGGCGGGGCATGACATCATTACAGAACGACAGGGGAGCGGGCTTCCAACCTGTCTATCCAAAGTCTTGTATGATTGTTAGCGTGGGTTGAATTGATTGTGGTACATGGTGCTGTAGTGATCATACCGCCGACGACACTAACTGTCATTTTGGCAGGGGCAGTGGAGGCTAGGACCGTCGAGGCCAGGCTCGCCAAAGCGAGAGTCATCTTCTTGGAGTTTGCCATGACGATGGATGTGAGGAGACCGAAAAAAGAGTATGAGCGGTGCTGATGTGTAGAATAACTGCGAGATGGTCGACTGCACTATAAATACCTTTCACGACACGGAGGGATGAGCAGTCGAACAACATCCACGAGGCCCCCTGCGCGGAACTAGGCAACGTCGCTACCATCGAGATAATTTCCAGAAGCTCATCTCATGTATCATCACAATAAATTCCCGAAGCTCATCTCGTTTAAAAGTTGATGAGATGCTCAGCGCGAATGGAAAGTTGGTTTTCCCCCGTTGTGGGACTAGTACCTAAGCTTCGACGGAAACAGCCATTGCCAAGCTCCACAGTTCAATGAGCTTGGCAAAGCTTAGAACGTGGTCTCCGCACGTGGTTGTCTGATGGTGCATAGAAGTGTTGTATTTCAGGAACCGAAGTGTGGGATGAAGTGCCGGGTTGAAAAAAGCTTGATCTCGGCAGACAGGAGGGTTAGCGTACGTGTGATGCAATATTGTTCTTTGACTGCTCGAGTGGTTCCGTTCCTTGACTGATACTATCTCACCGTGAGACTCGAGGGAAAGGTAAAATTAAAAGGCTAGACCTGAACAGATTGGATATTTGAGATTCGTGTATGCCTTGGTATTAATGTTCACTTTCCCGTCGGGCCTTGAGGATTGCCATTTCAGCCAGATGATGTAGGTCGCCCATAAACTCTTCCACAAGACTGACCTGGGCGATAAATGTGGTTGGGGTCTGCCTCCATATGTGCTTCCTAAAATGTTCAAGGACTACTCTCATCAACGATAAGTCAGTATCACTTCGATCCTCCAGAGGACTCATCAGGATATTCGAGAAAAGGTGGATGGCAGATGTGGAGAGCTCTGGTAAGCAAAACCTTTCAGGAAATTAGTATCTGGGACATCAATCCAAACGTACGACTGGTCGCCTACAAGAGAAACTGCCCCTCGCGCTGTGGGTCCGTTTCCAGGAACTTTCGTAACACAGACCGACTGGCTGCTACGCTGAGGGCAAGACTCGAGCCCGCCGCGCGGGTATCCTGGTTCCGAACCCAGGCAGTACACCGGCTGCTTGTCTGATGGATGGCAGCCATGCAGTAGTGATACTGCATTTCAAAAAGGAAGTCGGCCATGCGATTGTTGTTGTGTATAGATAGGTCCGAGAATGTAGGCACCGAAGATCGCCATTCGTCCAGCGCGATGTCCAGGCTGCGGATCGTAGCTAGCAGATCCGCATCGCCTTGGCGTTGGGCGGAGAAAGAGTATAGGCCATGATAGATCTTCGACTGAACGAGTCCCAGGCGAATAAGGGTGAGAAACATAGTGTGGTTGTGTTGAGGGTAGAAAGGCTGCAAGCTTTCCAGCTGGCCATTCACCGACAGCATTCGAGGAAGCGTTAGATCGCAATTCATAACGTCAACAAAGGGTTGAAGGCCTGTGCGCAAGCTGAAGATCTTGTCGAGGATGAAACAAATCCAGAAAAGATTCCTAACGTGCATTTTTGCACGCAGAGGATCACTCTCTATATCCTCGGGGTAGACGTTGCCTTGGAGGTGAAAGACGAAGCGTGTGGCCGTGGACAACATAAGCTCTATACTGAGCATATCTCCAGATGTGGCCTGGCAGCAGAGGCACTTTTGTCAAGGTGTTAGCTTTCAATCACTATTTGGAGAACGCTGTGCACATAGGAGTGATCGAATTAGTCAAGATGGTCATACCAGCATGGTCAGTGCCTGCAACCCGTCCAATGTTACTGACTCGTTGAGCATGTCTGGTAATAGGTCTTGGGCCTCGCGGGCATATTCATCGGCAGTCACGATATTGTCAAAATGCGGTTGACCAGCGAAGAATGAACTCAGGGCCATAAAGGCAAATATACATACCCTGGCGCTGGAAAGCCCGGGCGAGATGGCTGACAACTCTTTTTCGTAGGCCGCTCGGATAGTGTACTCAAAACATGCTTGGTTAACCATAGGCAATATCTGGGCGCAAATCGACTTTTGAAAAGCCTCCATCTGTTCGAGAAGAAGCGATTTATCCGGCAGCGATAATCGTCGGTCGACCTCGCCGTCACGTTTCCTGGCTAACCGTGGCCAGGTGATGGGCCTCATGCTGCAATACCGGTCTAGAGATCCATCCCCTCCGGTACGGGATCGAATCCATTCCAAGCCGCTTGGAGAGAAGAAAGGCAAGCCATTGAATGCACAAATATTCCCTAGAGTCTGTCCTGCAAGGCATATATCGGTCCCGAAACCCTGGGGCGCCACAGCCTGGGGACCGCACTCTGGAAAAGGTGGTCCGGGCCGAAGTTTCCTTTCTTCTTATTCATCAGATGAACAATGTTAGAATGATCAGAAACAGTCAATGTCGGGGTGGAGCTTGAGGGTTCCGTTATGATTCATACAGACATACCGTGTCCCATAGGTCTACTTGGATGTGGGGAAGGCGAACTGCTGCTGGAGAATCGAGTCAATAAGAATCACTGTCGATGTAAGGTAGCTATCAGGTATGAATAGAAAGAGATGTAAGGAGAATCGGAGGTTCATACTTCCCACTCCGAGTTTGGCGCAAGCCTGAGCGCGAGGAATCCCGGTTGCGCGTGAAGGTACAGGGGATGTTGTGATGGTAGCACCAGTCACACTGGGGAGTTGCACGGTCACATTTTATCTAGACGAAAACGGGATATCAGATCCCACCAGTTAGAAGAATACCCAGACTATTCAACCCGTCGTCGGGGCCAGACCTTCTTGATGCTGCAGGAGTCGCAAGCATACGTACGTCGGGTACGGCGTGGGCGGTTCGCGCCAGCATTGCCATTCAGCTTTTGAACGGCCATAACACTCGCAGGATGATTCATATTATTTCGGCCAGAGTTTATATTCAAGGGGGTATGGTCACATCCAATCTAAACAGGACAAGTGCCCACAATGATGCTGCCTCTTGTCACTCCTCGGCCAGTGGAAAACAACAGCACCCGAGAAGTGTGTAATATTCCTCCTCAACCAGGTTCATCACAGCTTGAAGAATCAGCAAGGTCCGATTACTCAATAGCGATGGCTTATTTAGCGCACTTACAGGTTGAGTTACGTCCATCAGCTCAGTACACCGGCATGACGAGAACCGAAATCCGCTTAATCATCGGCTTTTGAGACAAATGATCGACTAATCTGACAATGTGTGGATCCTAGACTAGCAACGTGCGTATTCCCGAGCATGCAGAAGATATATGAACAGTTCCAGGCGTCGGATGAAATAGAAAGTTGTCCCGATTGCCGAACGACCCGTTATCATGGATAATACCGACCGAAAAGTTGCGTCTTTGTATCCTCGTTCTCCAGTTACTGTCGGGATTATGGGGTAAAGGCGCTGAGTCAGCGGACTTATGGCATTGCCAAGCATTTACTAGATCCTCATCCAACTACTTGTGTACTCGACTACCAGTCCAACGGGCAAGATCAAAATCTAACTATCAATAGTACAAAGTTAAACTCTGTGATTCTCTGGATCGAATTGGAAACTGCGCCTCTCGGTCTCGGTACTCGATATACCCGATTTGACCTACAATTGGGCCCGAAATGGATGCAAGACGGACTATCACCCTCGCGGTGCCACCTGTGTATCCGAGGGATGTCTTCATATTCATAATCTGGGAAAAAATGAAACTGAAAATATCTGTTGGACTTGTCGGAATGGTAGCTTCCGGACAAAGGAAGACGAACCGCCGTGAAAACAATAGTCATAATAGTCAACTACATCCCCCGCTCAAGGCCTGGGACACTGATATTCGACAAGGAATTGAAACAGAAATACCGTCCCGTTGATCGGTCCTGAGTTGCAATCAGATAAATTCCCCCCTTTTTCTTCACCTGCCTGGGTGTATCATCGGTCAGGCACGACCACACCATGAGCGCCAACAGTCAGGACGAGTACTTACTTGAGGACCCTGGATCTCAAGATGAAGAAGTCACTTACAAATCTACGGTCAGATCTCCCATGGACCTTATCAGACCAGATGATACGGAGAACCTGAGGCGGATTGCCACCCAGCAGTCGGAGAAGTCGCGCAGACGGTCAGAGGCAGGCGCTCCAGAAGCGCATACCACGCCCGCTGTAGCGGAGGATGACCCTGCGTTGGATCCGCTGTCAGCGGAATTCAATCTGGAAAAATGGCTCCGAACTCTTGTGGCAGACGCCAAAGGGAGAGGTCTCTCGACTCCACAGGCCGGAATTGCGTTCAAACAACTGAATGTCTCCGGGTCTGGGGCTGCCCTTCAGCTACAGGACACGGTTGGTTCAACCTTGGCGATCCCCTTTCGACTTCCGGAACTGCTTCGTCAGAGGCATTCTCCATCTCGACTGATTCTCAAGTCCTTCAATGGTCTGATGAAGAGTGGGGAGCTTTTGCTGGTACTTGGGCGTCCAGGAGCAGGTTGCAGCACCTTCCTCAAGACACTCTGCGGCGAGACGCATGGACTTGACGTTGATCCGACAAGTGTTCTACATTACAACGGTACCAATGCCTTCTGAACTATTTTCTGCTGCTATTCCTTGTCACTAATGGGGGTTTTGAAGGCGTCTCTCAAGCACGCATGATGAAAGAGTTCAAAGGCGAAGTTGTCTACAACCAGGAGGTAAGCCGGCAGGAATCGTACTCACACATGCGCTTGTGCTAACCTCAACTGTTCTTCCTGCAGGTAGATAAGCACTTCCCCCATCTTACTGTGGGACAAACACTCGAGTTCGCAGCCGCCGCTCGCACTCCCTCGCACCGGTTCCGCGACATGTCCCGGGACGAGCATGCCAAGTACGCAGCACAGGTGATCATGGCGGTATTTGGCCTGAGCCATACCTATAACACGAAAGTTGGAAATGACTTCGTTCGTGGAGTCTCTGGAGGGGAACGCAAACGTGTCTCTATAGGTATGTTGCAGTCTGCATCCGCCCCCTTTCCCAGGGGCATCCGCTAGTGTGCTGACTTTCGAGTGAAGCGGAAATGGCTCTGGCTGCTACTCCTCTCGCAGCTTGGGATAATTCCACTCGTGGACTGGACTCGGCCACCGCTCTCAAGTTTATCGAGTCTCTCCGACTACTGGCCGATCTTGCAGGGACTGCGCATGCCGTGGCAATCTACCAGGCCAGTCAAAGTATATATGACCTCTTTGACAATGTCACCGTCCTCTATGAAGGGCGCCAAATCTTCTTCGGGCCAACGTCCGCCGCAAAGGGCTTTTTCGAACGGCAAGGCTGGGAGTGTCCTCCTCGACAAACGACAGGCGACTTTCTCACCTCAATCACAAATCCGCAGGAGCGGCGCCCCCGCGCTGGTATGGAGAAACTTGTTCCCCATACACCAGAGGATTTTGAGAAGTACTGGCTTCAGTCGCCAGAGTATCAACATCTACTGKAGCAAATTAAGGAATTTGAGACTTTACATCCCCCAGGTGACGATGAGAAAGCTGCCGCTCACTTTCGAAAGAGGAAGCAGGACGTGCAGTCCAAAAACAGCCGGCCAGGATCTCCATACCTGCTCAGCGTACCAATGCAGATCAAGCTGAACACGCGAAGAGCATACCAACGGTTGTGGAACGACATCTCCTCGACCCTGTCGACCGTGATTGGTAACATTGTCATGGCTCTCATTATCGGTTCCGTTTTTTATGGATCCCCCGACACTACAGCAGGCTTATCATCAAGGGGCGCAACGTTGTTCTTCGCAGTCTTACTGAATGCGTTGACAGCAATGTCAGAAATCAACAGTCTGTATTCCCAACGCCCAATTGTTGAGAAGCAGGTGTCCTACGCATTTTACCATCCTTTCACAGAGGCAATCGCTGGAGTGATCAGTGATATCCCAGTCAAACTTATACTTGCTGTGGTCTTCAATATCATCCTATACTTTCTAGCGAACCTTCGCAGGGAGGCATCACAGTTCTTCATCTACTTCTTAATCACTTTCATCATCATGTTTGTCATGAGCGCGGTTTTCCGGACACTGGCTGCAGTGACAAAAACAGCCTCACAGGCAATGGGTCTGGCTGGCGTGTTGATCCTTGCGCTGATTGTCTACACTGGCTATGTCCTTCCAGTGCCATCGATGCATCCTTGGTTCGAATGGATCCATTATATCAACCCCATCTACTATGCCTTTGAGATCCTGGTCGCAAATGAGTTCCATGGCCGTGATTTCCCATGCGCCAGCTTTGTGCCAGCTTACGCAGATCTCTCTGGTGACAGCTTCTCTTGTTCTGCTTCTGGCTCTTTAGCTGGTCAAACCACTGTGAGTGGTGACCGCTATATCTTCTACAATTTCAAGTATAGCTACGATCATGTTTGGCGGAATTTCGGGATCCTAATTGCCTTTCTTATTGGCTTTATGGCCATCTACTTTCTGGCTTCAGAGCTAAATTCGTCCACCACCAGTACCGCTGAGGCATTGGTCTTCCGGCGCAATCATCAGCCCCAGCACATGCGTGCAGAAAATGTCAAATCCACTTCCGATGAAGAGAGTGGAATCGAGATGGGTTCTGTTAAACCTGCGCATGAAACAACCACGGGCGAACTGACCCTGCCACCACAGCAAGATATATTCACGTGGCGTGATATTTGCTATGATATCGAGATTAAAGGGGAACCACGACGCCTTCTTGATCATGTTTCCGGCTGGGTTAAACCTGGCACTCTAACCGCATTGATGGGTGTAAGTGGAGCCGGTAAAACTACCCTGCTGGATGTCCTGGCGCACAGAACTAGTATGGGTGTTATCACTGGCGATATGTTTGTCAATGGGAAACCCTTGGACACCAGCTTCCAGAGAAAGACGGGATATGTTCAGCAGCAAGATCTTCATCTTGAAACTGCTACCGTGCGGGAATCATTGCGTTTCAGCGCCCTACTGCGTCAACCACCCACGGTTTCAATCCAGGAGAAGTACGACTATGTTGAAGATGTGATTCGCATGCTGAGGATGGAGGAATTTGCCGAAGCCATTGTTGGAGTTCCAGGTGAAGGATTGAACGTCGAACAACGCAAGTTACTGACCATCGGCGTGGAACTTGCTGCGAAACCCAAGCTACTTCTTTTCCTCGACGAGCCGACGAGGTAAGCAGATGATGTGTGTACTGTAATAGATTTTTCTGAGCTAATGTGAACTAGTGGCCTGGATTCGCAGAGTTCATGGGCTATTTGCTCATTCCTGCGTAGGTTGGCTGATAGCGGACAAGCCATTCTGTGTACCATCCACCAGCCAAGCGCCATTCTCTTTCAGGAGTTCGATCAGCTGCTGTTCCTTGCAAAAGGTGGCAAGACCGTCTATTTTGGTCCTGTGGGGGATAACTCTCGCACCCTACTCGACTACTTTGAGTCAAACGGGGGCCGGAAATGCGGCGAATTGGAGAACCCTGCGGAGTACATGATCGAAGTCGTCAACGCCACGACCAACGACAAAGGACAGGATTGGTTTGATGTTTGGAAACAGAGCCCCGAAAGCAGGGCGGTCCAGGAAGAGATTGACCGCATCCATGAGGAAAGGAAATCCACCCACGAAGAGGACAATGATCAGTCGCACACGGAATTCGCGATGCCTTTCTGGTTTCAGTTGTACGTCGTTTCGCGCCGTGTCTTCCAGCAGTACTGGCGAATGCCGGAATACATCGCCTCCAAATGGGGTCTGGCCATTATGGCTGGCTTGTTCATCGGCTTCTCCTTCTTCGATGCCAAAACATCGCTAGCGGGCATGCAGACAGTCCTTTTCTCCTTATTCATGGTTTGCTCTATCTTTGCATCTCTTGTTCAGCAGGTAAGACCCCGATAAACACATCTCACTGCGGGTAATACCATGATATTGACTGCCTTTTTTAGATCATGCCCCTATTTGTCACGCAACGATCATTATACGAAGTTCGCGAACGTCCCAGCAAGGCGTACTCGTGGAAGGCTTTCTTGATTGCCAATATCGCGGTGGAAATCCCATATCAGATCGTCATGGGGATCCTCACCTTCGCCTGCTACTACTTTCCCGTTGTAGGCGCCAGTCAATCACCTGAGCGGCAGGGTCTGGTTCTGCTTTACTGCATCCAATTCTACGTTTACGCTAGCACCTTCTCCCACATGGTGATTGCAGCAATCCCCGACACGCAGACTGCCAGCCCCGTTGTCGTCCTCCTGTTCTCAATGGCGCTGACATTCTGCGGTGTGATGCAACCCCCTTCCGCGCTACCGGGTTTCTGGATCTTTATGTATCGCGTCTCGCCCTTTACATACTGGATCGGAGGCATGGCGTCCACGCAGCTCCACGACAGGAATGTCGTCTGCTCAGCAGCAGAAACCTCTGTCTTTGACCCCCCCGCAAACCAAACCTGCTACGAGTACATGGCAGAATATATAAAACTTGCCGGTGGCCAACTCCAGAATCCCGACGCTACCTCCGACTGCAAATTCTGCTCCTTGACCGTTGCGGACCAGTACCTTGCAGGGAGTGAAATAGAATGGTCCCAACGCTGGAGGAATTTTGGGTTAATCTGGGCCTATGTCGTGTTTAATATCTTCATGGCGACGGTCTTGTACTACCTTTTCCGGGTCAGGAAGTGGAATCTTGCTGGCATTAAGGCGAGGTTTGGAAGGAAGTGACCACCTTCACCTTCACTTGGTTTCTGACTTGACGGTCATTTGGACGTGTTCTTCTGTTCGCCGTATCTATTTCTTGCTCCACTGTTCCTGTTTATTTATTATTCTGAACTCTGTACTCTTCATATTCGGCGACATAGCCATAATCACTTATAAGATAGACTTTAGTTTCATTATAATCAATCTGGATTTTACTTCTTCACTCAGGGCAAGTACTGACTATGATCTGAAATAAGTTTCGCGATAATACATCTACAAGGCTCGCTGGGATACATCAATGCGATAGCTAGTGAAAGTGTCACAGTCTTCATGAATCAGGAGGGTAATTCGTTAGAGTTATCACTTGAACTGCATTCATTGAGTACTCCTACAGGGTATCAGATGTACATCGCATAAAAATCCACGTAGATAATCAAGACATGAAGCCAGAAAAAAGCAAGCAAATCAAAGATGGTAGAGTAAGCAAGAAGCCCTCGAATCCAGTTGTATGAGTCAGCATAGCCACCAACGCCAGAGTGCTAGTACGCATCGACTGATGCAATCAATATCATTATCGCTAGAGGATGCTATAGGTTCCGTAGCAAGCTGCCTTCGGCAAAAGGGTTGGCCGGTGTGAGATCCAGCATTGGCTTCGAGGCGTTGCGATCGCCGGTGGCCACGCCGTGGCCAACTGGGCCATTGCTTTGTGCAGCAGCGAGCTGTACGGAACGTGCGAGGAGGCTGTTAGCTAGGAATGGGCCTTCGGATGGTTGCGTGTTGTCCACGGGGGTGACTGGGGATGCTGGTGCGGTGTGGTGGTGTCGCTGGTTGCTGGTGCTACGAAGGGTGTTGGAGCGCTTGCGGGTCTGCGTTTCTGCACCTGACGGGGGTTCCGCTGGCACGGGTGGGCGTCTCCAAGTTGTCGATGGTGGGACGACGATGGCTCCCACGGGCTCATGTCCCGTGGCTGCGTCAATCAAGGGGACGCCCGGTTCGATGGCAACGCCTCTCCCCTTGCGAGCGTGCTGTGGAGGTTCCTGGTAAGCCGGAGTCAGGTCGACCAGAGGTTTGCCTTTGTTCACAGACAGAGCCCGCTTGACACTACCCATGTCCGGAGCTTGCGCCGAGGTCATCGTGTTCGACCGACTGGCAGGCTGGCTAACTGGACCGCGACGCGTGCTCATACTTCCGACCAGTCCGTGAGCAATGAACGGCTCTTCGTTGGCCCTCTTTTCCTTCTCTTCTCGTTCCTTCATAGCCTGTTGACGTTGCGTATATGTGCGACCCAGAAGACCTGACGAGGCGAATGGGGAGCCGTCGGTGGGCTGCACTGCTGAGCCCGACGGGTCCGACTCCGCCAGGGATGTCGGGAAAGACGATGGGGGCGGTCCACGCTCGCGCGAGCGTCTCTTCCGCGAGAAAATGTCTTTGCTCTTGCTTGGTTTGAGATGATCCTCAGGCGAAGAATGCTGTAATGGTGCTCGTTCGCGCTCCGTAACAGAATCCAGGTCCACCAAGGGTTTGAACGGAGGTGGCTGACACGACTTGGAATGAGAAGAGCCATTCCTCTGCCGGTGGAGGCTGTTAACCTCCTCATCATCTTCACTCTGGCCTGCGCCTTTTTTGTGAACGAGGTACCAGCTGCGCCATGTCTGCACTGCTTGATGCCACTGCTCGGCGACTGCCCTGTCGTTGGTGGAGAAGAAGTGGACGAAATTCTCCGTCGAGAGGAACATGCTCGACTTTTGCTGACTCTTGATTGCCTGGCACATCTTCTTTGGTGGATCCACATTTTTTCTCAGGAAATCCGGCGTGGGAGAATAGATATCAAAATCCGAAAGACGACATGCATTCGTTTGGTCCTTGCCATGCTCCTTCTTAGAAACAGTGACCTGCCCATCCGAACGAAGGGTGACAAACCGCTTGTCCCACTTACGGGGCCGTTGTGAGTAGTAGATGTGCACTGTTACATCCGCGGGAGGCGCGGTTGGCACATTCTGCGCTTCAAGCGGGCGCAAGGACTCGATGCTTGCCGCAGGAACAATAATCAATGCGTTCTCTCCATCATACGCCCATGAATTCATGATATCCCTCACACACTCATATCTGCGCAAGGGCCGCTCTAGTCCCAGCTGGCTGAACGACTCCATCATAATGAACTTGGGGGGATCGATTTCCCTTGTCAGACACTCCGAGGCTGTAACTAGCAGATCTTGAACCCGCGTCGACGGCATGACGGGCATCTTGGCCGACATCCTCCCATATTGGACCAGAACGTTGCGCTTCCCTGAATTCACCGCGGAAACAGGCGCATCCACCCCAGTAAAGTGATTCCCTGTAGGAGGCTCGGGGTATTTGACGGCCGACGACTCCGTGGTCGACTTGTCCTTGGGTATAGCAAGCTTCATTTTCTCCTTGAAAGATCGACGCTTCGGCTCGGAGGTTTCCTCCGACTTGCGATGCCGCCGGGACCCTTCCTGTACATCGTCACGCTGGCGCCGGCCGTCTGCGGCCCGCGGAGACGCTCTCCGATGATTTGAAACAGCTGGCGCGGGCTTTGTAGTTTCCCCTGTTAAGCGAGCCATCGCCTCCTGCCTGTGTCTCTCGCGCTCGGCTTCCGAGTCCTCAGTACCGTCGGCGTCGTCGTCGAACGGGTTCTTTGCGGTTTTCGCAGGTTCKGTCATGCTTCGAGCCATCGGTGGTACGTGCGCTGCTGTCGCTGCAACGGTCTGATCCTCGGGAATGCGCAGCGGGTTGTGGCCGTTCAATTGCGTTTTATGCGTCGGAAGGGCTGGGACAGACTGCACGGTCATGGCAGGGGCTGTTGGAGCGCGCTGGCGTCGATATCGGGACATGCTGCGGTTGATTGAATCAGTCGTAGATGTTGTCCCATGGTGGGATCCAGTCGCAGGGGCGCTCGGGGGGCTGGGGGCAGTAGCAATCGACGTAACCAGCTGCTTGGGCTGCTTCTGGGTGGCTGCTCTTCGGACGGATCGATAGCGGGAGAACTTCAATGGGCCCTGGTCGTGGCCAGCCTCCATGCTGGTGGTCTGTGTTTCCATCGCCATGGCGATGGGCTCTTCTTCAAGGCACGTTTCTTACACGGATCGTCTTGTAGGTGCGGGATGCATTGTTTGGCATCGACGCGCTTGTATTCAGAGTGTGACCAAGTGGCCAGGACAGTCTGTCTCCTCAATGGACAGGCGCAGAACTGTGCTCGTTCTCAACGGTATCAGAGGTGCTGAAGGCCGTAGGCTGAGTTCCGAAGCCACGCAAACGTAAGGAGAATAATATCGAATGGGTTGGGAAGATGTCGAAGGGAGGAAGCGAGGGAAGGGAAAAAAAAAAAAAAAAAAGGGAAATGAGAGGGGGTGGGAAATGAGACGAAACTGAAAATAACCCCGGCACAACAAACCCCTTGGATGCTGTAGAGACGTTTCACAAATGCTCAGGCATTCCTTGTTCTGTCAACTCAAGTCCTAGAAGCCCTAAAATAGACCAAAGGAGATTGAAGCGAATCAGCGTGACAGTAATATTTTATAACCACCGACGGAGTGCGCCATAGATGAAAGAGCACGAGACGGGATTGCGGAGGGTCGACAATCTACGAGTTAGAGGAGCGGAGATTAATTAATATTAGTTAGTTCCTGATGTGGGTTGCACTTTAATTACTGCAACCAGGCGCTCGGATTCACTTCACTCTCCATAATGACGGCACAGAGAGAGGAGTATAGACGAATACTGCGACTTTGACTTCAGGAGATGCGTTCATCGAGGAGCAAGTGGACAACTATACGCAGAAACCTGATTCAAGTGGGAGAGGATTCCGGGCACGGCAGGGAAAAAGACGGCTTGTGGCTGGGAGGAATGGATCAATCAGGCACTATCGACGAAAGATCACTGGCGTGGCGTCGTCACCTTGGCAGCATGATTATAGATCAGGATTCTCAGTTATTGTTTTGAACTCTATCTACGGAGAATAATATCTATCTAAACCTAGTATCTACAAGATGGAACTACTACTAGGTAATTTGGTGATCGTCCTGGTACCTGACGGACAGCGTACAGGGCCACATGGATTATGGATGCGATGCGGATCGACATACCCACAATCGGGTGATTAACATACCACAGTAGTGACTGATGACACATCATGCTATTCCAGTTCACTCAATAGTAATCGGATTACAACAACTCCTGAATTCAGATCAGAGGTTGGTTCGAGTCTCTGGTTGTTCATTTGAGTCCGTGTCGTACAGCCTGGCTGGGTTCCTGCATCGGTCAATCTGCCCCTGCTTCCGTCTTTGCATAGGGCGGAAGATCTAACTACGGTGCTTGCGACGATGGCCCTTGTTACTTCGTTGCAATATAGTATGTATTTTCTAGCAAAAATGCTTTTGATCATCTCATACTAGTCATGAGATTGCTTCACGTCGCCATGTCCTCGGGACAAATCAATCATTTCTTATATGCCCCCAAATGCTTCCGCCTACATCCAGAATTAGCTCTAGCCATGGTCTGGGAGGCCACATACAGCAGGTACTTACCACCATGCGACGAAATCAGTCGTCTGAACGTCAATGCCCAAATCCTTTAGCACCTTGGTTGAGAGATGAGTATCATAAGGCCTCTGTACGGATGCGTTTGGATCATTTCCTTGCTTGTTCCTGATCATCCCTACCAGGGAAAGACCAAGTACCTCCGCAAGTTTCTCGCAGATTTCGTACTTGGTCATCCGATCTTCCGACGAGAAATGCAGAATCTTGGGGAGTTCATGAATCCGTGACCGTGCTTTGAGATATTTGACGACGACGTCACGGCACACACGAGCTACATCCTCGGTGTTTGTCGGGTAGCGCTGCGCCCAGTCGTCCATCTTCACACCCGCGTTCTCATCCTGAGCCTTCCAGACAGCATCGATCAGAGTATTCACGGCGCTCTCGGAGTTATTCTGAGCAGTACCATACAGCAGTGGCACACGGAGAATAAGCCCTAAACCGGTTTCCTTTGTGGCTTCTAGAACCGCGATTTCGCCGTCTCGCTTAAGCTGACCGTAGTAATTCGTCGGGGAGGGCTCTGCGTCGACCTCGTAAGGAGCCTCTCCCTCCTTTCCGGAGAAGACATAATCGGTTGAGATGTAGACCAGCAATGCTTTTCGAGAAGAGGTCTCTTCTGCAAGGGTACGGGTGGCATCGACATTGACCCGACGAGCTTGCTCGGGATTCTTATCACACAGATCCGGAAATCGGTTCGCAGCGCCTAAAACAGGTGGTCAGTATCAATTGCAGACGCATTGAGTGAGCATCGGTTCATTATTCGCATACAATGGATAACAATCTGAGGTCTGGTTTGCAAGATCAGTCGTCAGTTCCAGAATAGATACATCGGAGCATTGCGCACGAGTAGTACGAAAGAACATCAATGGCAAGGCAAGGGCACCGACTTTGCTTCATCCAACAAATTCTTAATATCCTCCGGTTTCTCCAGATCCGCCCTGAGAATCGTGGGCGGGGTAGCTCTAGAGTAGCCTTGACCGACAACAAAGCAGCCAGAATGCTTGAATGTATTGAAAACCTGACGGCCCAGCAAGCCGGTAGCTCCAGTAATCAAGACAGTAGTCGACATTTTATGGTACTCTTGTTCAGTCGGTTGTGTGTTGCATTGGGTGCTTGAGGCTTATTGAAATAGCAATTCCAGAGTGCCCCTCTACCGTTACTGGTCTGCTGTGTCTATCCACATGACGTAACGACCCTCATTTGTGTCCTGTTCCAAAGACGCGCAGAGAGATCAGCCCCGAAACAATAATGACGAATTGCTCTTAAAGTTAAGAGTAGAGTTACTTGTCTATGATAGGAATAGAAAAGATTCTGCGTATGCAAGAAGCACCTGGTTTGTTTTACCGAAATCGCAAAGATTGGCTAGCAATTCGCCTCAAGCACATGCCTTGGAACGGTCCAATCGTGTAGAATATTAAATCGGTCAACTTATTGCAAGGATAGCTTGCCCTCACCTTGCTAGCTAGTAAGAATTACCTTCTGCAGTTGGCTATAACAAAAGACCCATACTCCTACGGTGCCTACATCAGCTCGACATTGCCCTGAGAAGCTTCAACTCCTGCCCGTAAACGGAATACGACTGGTAGCATTGAGGTATCTATAATCTCTATGTCAAGTAGATCTTTTCCGGCTTGACAATAATTTGCCCGTACGGCTAGTTCTTGAACGGGCTCACTTCATGCGACTCTTCACTCTTGAGCTCTTCAGAAAGATGTGCTAACAGGCTAATACCACACTATAATATCACGTGACGTACAAAATCGTCCTTGTCGATTCATGCGTCAGAGCGGATAAATCTCCGATCGTCACCGCCTTGGCCATGATGTAGGCAGTACGCCAACGGTGAGCATTTTGGATCGCCGGTGCTCGCCGACTTGACAACTTTTCTAATCTCCCATTGTCGCTCACTGAGACGATGTCGAGCGCCAGAAACCTTTCGGTTGCCCTCCGACGGGCTCGTGTACCCAACCCTCGCTGTTGGGTGCGCCCCGTCATCGCCAACAGGCCTTCTGTGGCGGCCGCAAGGTCTTTCAGTGTCAGCTCCGTTGTCGGAGGTAATGCGACAAGAGAAATCAAGTACACCACCAACGCCTATCCCGAACTCAAGCGCAATCCCAATTTCGCCGAGATTACAGAACAGGATGTGAAGTTCTTCAAGGAGCTGCTTGGCGCTCAATCGGCGGTGATTGATGGAGTGACAACAGATGCTACGGACGATATTGAACCCTTCAATGCCGACTGGATGCGCAAATACCGCGGCCACACGAAACTAGTCCTTAAGCCTCAGAACAAGGAGGAGGTCAGCCAGGTCTTGAAATACTGCAATGAGAAGAAGCTGGCTGTTGTTCCCCAGGGAGGTAACACCGGGTTGGTGGGAGGTTCCGTGCCTGTGTTCGACGAGATCGTCATCAATACTTCACGCATGAACAAGATCCGCTCATTCGATGAGGCCTCAGGTGTGCTGGTCGTTGATGCGGGTGTCATTCTCGAGGTAGCCGATCAGTACCTAGCAGAACGCGACCACTTGTTCCCCTTGGATTTGGGTGCAAAGGGTTCGTGCCATGTCGGAGGAAACGTCGCGACCAATGCGGGAGGACTCCGTCTGCTGCGTTACGGCAGTCTTCACGGCAACGTGCTTGGTCTTGAAGCGGTCCTGGCGGATGGTACTATCGTCGACTCCCTCTCCACCTTGAGAAAGAACAACACAGGCTATGATCTGAAGCAGTTGTTCATCGGCTCAGAAGGTACTATCGGCATCGTCACCGGCGTCGCCATCCTGTGCCCCCCTCGGCCCAAGGCGGTCAATGTGGCCTACTTCGGTCTCGAAAGCTATGATCAGGTTCGCCAGGCTTATAAGGAAGCCAAGGGTCATCTTTCCGAGATCTTGTCCGCCTTTGAGCTGATGGACGGACGCAGCCAGAAACTCGTTCACGAGTCGACTGGCTCAAAGTACCCGCTGGAAGGGGAATACCCTTTCTACTGCCTAGTGGAAACCAGTGGATCCAATGCAGAGCATGACATGGAGAAGCTGGAAGGCTTCTTGGAGCATATCATGGGTGAGGGGATCGTCGCCGATGGTGTTCTGGCCCAAGACGAGACACAATTCCAGTCCATCTGGCGTTGGCGAGAGGGCATTACGGAAGCTCTGAGCCACCTCGGCGGCACTTACAAGTATGACGTCTCTATTCCTCTGCCTGAGTTGTACCAGCTTGTGGAAGACTGCCGTGAGCGCTTGACGAAGATGGGATTCGTGGGCGACGATGACTCTTTCCCTGTCCGAGCCGTCGTTGGATATGGCCATATGGGTGACTCAAATCTCCACTTGAACATTTCTGTCAGGCAGTACAACAAGGAGGTCGAGAAGGCCATTGAGCCTTGGGTGTATGAGTGGATCCAGAAGCGCAGCGGCAGCATTAGCGCCGAGCATGGATTGGGCCTTGCCAAGAAGGAGTTCATCGGGTACAGCCAGAATGATACCATGCTCAAGTTGATGAAGCAGCTGAAAACCTTGTACGACCCGGTAAGTCTAGCTCATTTCAACACATCTTCCGAGGTTACTAATAAGCTTCTAGAACGGGATTATGAACCCTTACAAGTACATTTAGGCATCAAGCGCTTGCATGGCGTTAATAGTTTCTAGCGGGTACGAATTATTGAAAGTATAGATAGATTTTTATTACATCAGTCGGCGAGTCCGATATCATTGACGTCCTTCTAGAATATCGAGGATTCGAAAACCCCTGTAGATCTCTGTACATTACTACCTTACGGCCGCCTTATGAACTAAGGTAGGTACCTACCTTACCAGTGGGGAATTTCTGTAATCGGGCAAGCTCCACTTTGCTGCCTTGGGCGGCTGGGTAGCGTGGTTGCCCGGCGCTACGGAACCATGGGAAAAAGTGCGGCTAGCCGATTACTGTATGTGATGGATCCTAAGTAGATACGTACTTGCTTCCCCCTTCATCCAGCTCAATTAGCTGTTTTCTGGTCACTGGGGGTTTTGAGTGTGCTCGACTTGTCCAGATCAGCCATCGAATCTTGCCGGGGCAGGAACTGCTGGTTGAGCTGTACGAGTTGTGCCTCGTGTGTCCGCTTGTTGTTGTATTTTGCGTATCAGCGTCGCCCGCCCCCCTGAGCTACGACTCGGGTAGCAGATCGCGCAACCATGGAGGGAGACATGGCCAGTCGGTATCAGATGATGGAGGAGTTGGGAAGTAAGTAGTTGCCAACCGCAAGAAAAAAAAATTTTTGCAATTGGCATTTAACTGACAAGGAAATTGTTGTTGGCAGGTGGAAGCTTTGGGACTGTTTACAAGGCTATTGAAAAATCTACCGGGGAAATTGTCGCGATTAAACATGTACGCCCTCACGAGTGTGTGACCTGTTTTCGCTTCTCAATTGACCGTCTGGAAATGGTTTTAGATCGACCTCGAATCGAGCGAAGATGATATTCAGGAAATACAGCAGGAAATCTCCGTCCTGGCCACATGCGCAAGCCCCTACGTGACGCAGTACAAGGCGAGTTTTCTTCGGGGGCACAAGCTGTGGATTGTCATGGAATACCTGGGTGGAGGATCTTGTCTCGACTTGGTAAATATGTCAATTGGTCGAGTGCGTCATTGAAACTCTGTGATCGCTAACTGGTATATAGCTGAAACCCGGTGTCTTCAGCGAAGCGCATGTTGCTATTATCTGCCAACAGCTGCTACAAGGCATGGAATATTTACATAGTGAAGGCAAAATTCACCGCGACATCAAAGCTGCCAATGTGCTTCTCTCCCACACAGGAAAGGTCAAGTTGGCCGACTTTGGGGTTGCGGCCCAACTTACCAACATCAAATCGCAACGCAATACCTTTGTCGGAACACCGTTCTGGATGGCTCCCGAAGTAATTCAACAAGCTGGATACGATTATAAAGCGGACATTTGGTCGCTGGGGATTACCGCGATCGAGATGATCAATGGAGAGCCGCCCCATGCGAGTACGCACCCGATGAAAGTCCTCTTCCTTATTCCAAAGGAGCCGGCCCCTCGACTAGAAGGGAACGAATATAGCAGCTCTTTCAAGGACTTTATAGCGCAATGCTTGACTAAGGACCCGGAGCGGAGACCCAGCGCGAAGGAGCTTTTGAGACACAAATTCATTCGCAATGCAGGGAAGACCGAGGCGTTGCAGGAACTCATCCAACGGAAGCAGGATTGGGATGCCGGCAAAGGTGTGAGGCAGAACGTCAAATACTATGCAGAGTCTCTGTGAGTTTTCGCCTTGGAGTTGTTAGTTGTCCATCCGCTAATCATGCTCGCACAGCAATACTATCACGCGGCTGGAAGACGACGACGGATGGGTCTTTGACACTGTCAAGGCACCTCCCACGTCGATACCAGATTCGCACGACCTAGTATCTGACCGAGATCCACGAGACCGTTTGTACGACGAAGCCTCGGAGTTGATGGACAATCTGCACATGTCCAGTCCGCCTCTCCCGCCGAAGCATGCCTCGAACTCGACCGTGCGACGAACTCCAGCGGCTGACCGGAGTCCCTCTGTGCGACGGCCAAAGCGACGATCAAGTGGCGTAAAGCAGCCCTTAGGCGTCGACTTGACTTTTGGCAACAGCCCATCGACAGTTCGCCAGTTCCGTCGGGTGTCGGATAAGACCGGGGCCGACACCTCGTACAAAAACCAGTACCAAATCGCTGTTGACGAGAATGCAAGCCCCAAGACACTGTATTCGGATTCGAACAGCAAGGAGGCTCAGATAGGGCGTCGAGCTTATAGCAAGGCTGTCGGCCTTGCTTGCCAGGAGGTCCTTGGCACTACTGCAGACCAGGAGAAAAGAGAAGCCATCTCAAGACTGGCGGAGGCCTGGAGCGACCTGGAGATGGTCGACCCCGAGGGGCTGTACCATATTCTCAAATCTATGAATGAGAAACTTCAGAGGTCGGTGATTACAGACTCGTGTACCCGTCACTAGCGTAACTCTGACTGACTTTCGCCTCCTTTTCAGTGATCCAAAACTCGCAACTCTCGTCCCGCAAGCTCCACAACCCGAATCCCCACAGAGACCA